TCCACTCTGCAACCCTCATTGCATACTCCTACGATAAAAATAATGCCCTAAAATATAATACTTTGAGACTATTCTCTCCCCCATAGACTTCAATGCCGTAAACATATTTCATCCATCAGATTTTTAAGGCTGTAATCTTTATTGAGCTAGACTGCTAGGCTTTTCTCCTATGAAGTAGCTGCTAGGTTTGAACTGTTAACCTTTTAATTAACAATCGGGCACTTACTCACTGTAACACTAGAACTTCCTATTTATACATGCATTGTATATTTATGTTTGCTGTTGTTGTTATTATTGTTAGGTGCTGTCAAGTATGACTCACAGCAACCCTGTAGACAATAGATCTGAAAACCATCCTATCCTGCACCTTCCTTATCACAAACCCCCTTGAGCCCATTGCTGCTGTCACTGTGCTAGTGCATCTCATTGAGGATCTTCCTGTCACTGACCCTCCACCTTTCCAAGCATGATGCCCCTTTCCAAAGAATAGCCTCTTCTAACACATGCCCAAAGGATGTGACCTGGAGTTAGAAAACCCAGAGGAAGGACACATTTGTCAAATGACAAGCTCATCCTCAGTGAGCCGAAGAGCCCATTCAAGGCTTGACTTGCAATTCTGAAGGATTCTATAGGCAATATTGAATGATACAGGAAACAGTAAAAAACGTAGAAGGGATATAGTCACTATACTAAAAGAAATTGCTTGACATGGAGCCATTGCAGAAAGGGGCTTGTGATTAGGAAGCAATGGTACTGGAGTTTTAAAGAAGTCCAAGCTGTACTGAAAGCAATGGCAAAATGCAAGGCCCCAGGGATGGATGGCATACCAATGAAGCTATTTTAGCAAACAGATAAAGTCCTGAGCATGCTCACCAATTAGTTTATGCCAAGAAATTTGGAAGACGATTACCTGGCTACCAACTGGAAGAGATCCATATTTATACTCAGGTGATCCAACAGAATGTGGAAATTACTGGACATACCAAATTAATGATACTGAATAATATCATTAATATCACACACAAGTAAAATCTTGCTGAAGAATATTGAAAAAAATTTAGAATAATTCCTTAACAGAGCAATGATAGACATTAAAATTGGATTCAAAAAGGTTGTGGAACAAGGAATATCAATGCTCCTGTCAGATGACTCTTGGCTGAAAGTAAAACATACTGGATAAATGGTATTTTTTATGTTTTATTAATTATGCAAAGGCATTTGACTGTGTGGATCATAATAAATTATGGATGGCGTGGAGAAGATGGGAACGCTGAGGCATCTCATTATGCTCATGTGAAACCTGTACATAGACCAAGAAGCGACTTTTAAACAGAACACGGGCATACTGAATGCCTTAAAGTGCATCAGAGTTGCATCCTTTCATCATAATTCATGCAGTCTGTGTGCTGAACAGTCATTTTAAAACTGAACTACTTTTTTGCAACATTCACAAACTTCTAGAAAGAAGACTGTGGCATCCTGACTGGAAGAATATGCATCAACAACTTGCATTATGCAGATGACAAAATTCTGCTTGCAGAAAGTGAAGAAGACTTGAAAAACCACCTCTTGAAGATCAAAGACTACAGCCCTCAATTTGGATTACACCTCAACAGAAATCTAGAAAACAAAAATCCTCACAACTGGGCCAAGAAGCAACATCATGACAGATGGAGAAAAGTTTTAAGTTATCAGCTATTTTATTTTACTTTCATTCATAATCGACACCCATGGTAGCAGCAGTCAAGAAATTAAAAGATGTGTTGTACTAGGTAAATCTATTGGCAAGGACCTCTTGTGAAAAAAACCAAAAACAAGCTGTTAGTTTAAAGACTAAGATGTGGTGACCTAAGCCATGGTATTTTCCATTGTTTAATATGCTTGTGAAAGTTGGATAATAGATAACAAAGAAGAATTGATGCCTTTGAAATGTAGTGTTGGTGAAGAGTATTGAATATCCGTGGACTGCCCAAAGAACAAACCAACTTACCTACGAGTAAATGCAACTAGGTTGCTGCTTGGAGGCAAAGATGGCCCATATTGTCTAGAGGTACCAGTTCTTGGAAAAGGGCATTATGGTAGAAAAGTAAAGGCTTAGTGAAAGAGAGGAGGTCTCTCAAGGATATGGATCGCTGTAGTGTCTGCAGCAGTGGGCTTGAGCAGGGTGGAGTTTTAGAGCATGGTACAAGACAGAACACGTTTTCTTTTGTGGTCCCTGTGGTCACACTATGAGTAATAGTTTACTCAACAGCCTCTCACAAACTAACAGTATATATTTGTAAGAGTGGGACTGTTTAGAATGACTGATAGAATAGGTTAGTTAAAGAAAAGTCTTGCTTCTCACATAGCAATCAATTTAATTTTGAGGGTAATTTTGGCATGAAGGCAAGGAGATGACACCATGACCTCTGTAGAGCCATGGCCGGATTTTAACAGTCACTTGGATGCCTATGTGAATAAGCACCTCTCCAGAGTCCTAGGGACCTCTGTGTGATTGACTTGAATTTTCTGGAGACCCTCGAGTGTGTGAGTGAGGTCAGGCTAGGCCAAATTATCATCAGTTTGCCAAGCTACAACCTGAAAATCACCTTTCTTCACTCAGAAATCCTTTTTATGTCCTACCTCTGTGCCTATTAGTCATCTATCCTTTTATGACTCATTGCCTAAATAATTTTCATTTATTTATCCATTTATTCATGTCCTTTTTACGTACCTATTTCCATACTCCTTCCTTCATAAGATTCCTAAGGGCTTAGTTATCATTCACACATTCCCTCATTCATTCATTCATTTATTTATTATTTAATCTTCTTACTTCATCAGTTGAGAATACCATGGTCTTTTCAATCACTTAATATGCATCTGAGAGCTGAACATTGAATAAGGATGGCAGAAGAAGAGTTCATGCCTTTCAGTTGTAGTGCTAGAGAAGAGCCCTGAATACCCCATGAAATGCCAAAATTCAAAAGATTTGTCTTGTAAAAAGTGCAGCCAGAGTGCTCATTGGAGGCAAGGATGACGGAACTTCATATCACATATCTAGGGCTTATTGCTAGGAGATGCTATTCTTTGGAAAAGGATATCATATTTGGAAAGATAGAGAGTCAGTGAAAGAGAGGAAGATCCTCAATGAAATGGACATAGTCGGAGATTATGAGGATGGCACAGAATAGGACAAAGTCGTGCTTGACTTGATGGCATCTAACAGTAATATTTAGAATATTTAGTCAGTTACTTGTTTGTTGGGAGAAATAGGAGCAATCTCCTCCTGTGCAATTATCTGCCTCTAAAAACCTGCTGGAGGGTCAGCTTTCGGTCGGTTCTGACTCTGTGGTACACAACAACATGGGAACAGAGATCAAAAGGACATTTTAGGAGAAGGACTGAACAGAAGTAAAGAGGTGAAAGTGTGGATGGAATGAACAGAAAACCAAATGTAACTCCAATCTGGTTGGACCAGCCAAAGGGTGAAGGTCTTTCTCCATCATCTTCCACTGACCACCTCCAGACACTGGGGGAGGTCTTAGGTGTCTCGCAAAGAGGATTGAAATTTGTTCTGGTTGAAGGACAGGGTTTGGAGCAGATGATCAAATTGGGCTCATTGTCAGTGAGCATGGTGGTGGGCACCAGCTGAACAGGAGACAAGTAAGCAGAATTGTACTTCTTCCCACTGTTTTAGAGGCTGAGATAGCTGAGTTTACTGTACTGTAGCTGACAGGGTGTATTCTGGGAAGGACAGCACATGGCCACCAGGAGATGAGTGATCTGAAGCTTTGTCTTGTTCTGTGTTTGCTCCTAGGTTCAGAGTGTGTTGCCTCATGCCTGGACCACAACAGCGAGTCTGTCTACCTGCCATCGAACATGACTTCTCGCGAAGTACCCCACTGGATGAATCCCAGTCGCATGGATGTAAGTGGTGGCCCATTTACCAGCTAACGGGGAGGGAAATGGCATTGTTGAGCATTTTTGTAACCCAATCCCGTTTTGGTCTCTTTCTATATCTTATCTCATATAATTATTACCCCTGGTCTATGAGGTAAGAACTTGTTTACAATTATTTTTCCAGTCTCGACGTGTGTCCTTGTCAGTTCCTTTGCCAAAAGCCTTCTAATTATTGTCTCGTTGAATCCTGAAAGAGCCTAAGAGTGAGAGGCTGGTGGGAAATAGATTAAGGGTTGAGCCGATAACCAAAAAGTTGGCAGTTCGATATCACCACCAACTTCTCAGCAGAAAAATGAGGCAGTATCCCCTTGTTAAATTTACAGCCTTGGAAATCGAATGGAGTATCATCATGAGCCAGAAAGAACCCCTTGGCAAGGCTAGTTTTCCTTCAGTCCCCGGTTTGTATGAAAATGATTTCTAGGACACTAGCTGCAGGGTGGAGATTCAAGGCGACCTAGAGACAACTCCCAAAACAGGCTGCGTGATCTCCTTTCTGAGCCCTGGAAAGCCCTGGGAAGTGCTGCTCTGACACACTTAGTGGCAGCGCAGTAGGAACTAACTTCACAGCAACTGGTCGCTGGCTTTAGGAGGGGATAGTAGGGGTCCTGACAGGACAGTGGTTAAGCGGTAGGCTCCTAACAAAAATGTGGGTGGTTCAACCACTAGCTGCCCCCTGGGGAAAAGATGAGGCACCCTGTTTCTATTACTATTACAGCCTTCAAAATCCTGTAGGACAGTTTGGCTCAGTCCCTTCAGGCCACTGTGAGTCAAAATTAACTTGGTTCCAGTGTTGTTGGGTGCTGTCGAGACAGGGGTGACCCACAGCTGACCCTCCAGTGGATTTTCAGAGATGGTAAATCACACGAGAGGTGTTGTCCATCCTTCTCCCGCAGCTGTTGTTGACTGCCTTCGAGTCGAGCATGATTCATAGCGACCCTATGAACTAAAGGCCTGAAGCCCCTCTACAACTGCCGTCATTTATCAAAGTAACAGAGTTTCGGGAGGCATGTTGTTTAGGAAGTGGATGCCACCCCTGCTTCCAAATAGAGCAGTGATGAATTCAAATCCTGTGCCTTTGAAATTGCAGTACAGCTTCCTACTACCAGTGAAACTTTATAAATGAGAACATTGAGGTGCCAGGGCCACCAGTAGGAAGTGGCAGGAGAAAGCCACAAAGCTTTGGCTGACTATAAAATCCATCTTCCTAAGGACAGGACTATCTTGCATCTCCGGTAGAAGCTCTTGTGAAGTAGGGCTATGTTCCTTGGCTTATTTCTTTTCTTTCCCCACCCCCCACCCCCACTTTGTCTGTTTTCTGAAAAGCAAGCAACTACTATGTGATTTAGGAGCCCATTAATACTTACTCTTTATTGAGCCCCTACTATGTGATAATTTGTGTGCCCATTTCTGGGCACAGAGACCTACAGTTAAAATGCAGCACAGTTGTGTGAAGGAAGGGTCATTGCCTGTGTTTTCTCTATGTGAGCATTGCCACCTCAGAAGGGAAGTGATAGATCCGGAACAAGAGCTCAGACACAGCCTGAGTCCTAGTACTGTGTGCTCTTCCCTGTGTGAGGCTGGCGTGGCCATGACCCGGTGATCATGTGACAGCCAGCATCACTGCTCATTTGATTTTGGGGTTGACTACTCCACTTTACTTTTTGTTATTTGACTGATCAGAGCTTCCTGAGCTAACATGGAACCTAAACTATGTCTTCTAAAGCAGAATGAATGTGGGCCTTGGGCTCGTCACCCTGGGGAAGGGAGTTGGTGTCAGACTAAGAGATTCAGGTGTATCTCTCCACCAACCTTTGTGTCTGGGATGCAAGGATGGGGGAGCGTGGGGTAGAGGAAAAGGAGGGGCTCTCAGACCCAGGCAGCTGTCTGCCTGTTGGCTGTAGATTGTGCTCTGGATAGTTGGAGCAGAACTCGATACCCAGTGTTCTGTTTCTCAAAGGAGCTGAGGGCATGGATTTTGAGGCCTTACTCAGCACTCTGGGCACATGGACTTGACACTGGGCCTAGTCAGCCCCGCCACCCCAACCCTCTATACCCCAGCATTCATTTTCCCCTCTTCTCTCCTTCCTTTCTCCTGTTGCTACCTTTTTCCATCTCCATCTTTGTCTCTCCAGGTTGTTGGGTTTTGCCATCTGATCTCTATTCTCATTGTGTTGTTCTCTTCTCCTTCTGAATACCATTCACCTTGTTCTACTTCCTCCTCTCTGATGCTCTTTCCGGTCCATCTCCAGCCTCTATCTTGTTGCCAGTCTCCAATTTTCTCATACCCACACACAGACCCATCTCCTGCCCTCATGTTCCTTTGTTTTCTCTGCCTTCAAAGTGCCCTTTCTCATTCTTCCTACCAAATCCCCACAGAGAATCTGCCCAGGGGCTCATGTCCTCTACACGCCCATTAGCAGAGTCCAAATGTCAGAATTCCGAGGCTGCTGAAGACCATCAAACATTGTACAGCAAGAGAAACTGAAGATCAGAGAGGGAGGTGACTAGTCCAGGGTCATGTCTATAGTGGATGGAACTAGAACTCATAGTCCAACTGTCAGGATTGGCAATTCTTTTCGAAGCTCTGCCTCCACCCCTTTTCCTTGCTCCACCTAACCCCCACCTAGACAAGAGCAGAAGAACTACTCTCATGAAGAGACACTGAGACCGCCCCCTCACTCCAGCGCCAGAAGTGGTCTTCACTTGTTACGCAGACTAGGTTCCCCAGGCCTCAGCCCTGCTCAAGGCCTCTTCTCTGCCTCCGAGGTGAATTCTTGTCCTTCCCTCTATGAGCCCTGGGCATTAAAGAGTTGTTATAATTCACTGTGAAATAAATCCAGGGATCAGAAAGCCTGCAACCCCCCTACTCCCTCCTCATCCCACACCCCCTGCCATGGCCCACCCGCTGCCTGCCCACCCCAGCCCCCACCCAGCTCCCTGGTCTGCCTGCCTTTATTGATGCCGGTCTACCGAGAGAGCCATAACGAGGTTCAGACCTCCACGGGTCTCCGGAGGCCTCATTATCCAGGAGGAAAAAAATGTGGTAGAAAAAAGGAGGAGGGCGAAGGGCAGAGATTGATGATTTCCAGGAATAAGGCAGAAAAGCTGGCCGATGCTGCACCCTTGCCCCTGGTGCAGCGAGAGGTACAGAAATAGAGCGGCTGTGTAGGCGTTTCCAGGCCAAAGCAGGCCCTGGATGGCTCCTGTCTTTAAGAGGGGCGGCTGCCTGTGAGCATCAGAGTGAATGGAAGGGCCTGAGTCAGACTCTGCTGCAACTCCTGCCACGTTTCTTCAAAAAGCTGGGAACCTAAGAAGTGAAAACTCATGTGTAATAGATGCTTAGCATGGGTCAGGCCCTTTCCTGGGTATAGAAGGAGAGAGGAAAAGGAAATTAACACTTACTGAAAATCTGGTGTATATAGCGCATTTGTTAGGCAATTTCATATAATCAGTTCATTGTGTTGCCACCACACTTTGATTAGGTAACTATCATCAGTCTACACACCAAGAGGCTGCAGCTCGGAGAAGTTGCCTCATACCCTGTCCACATAAAGAATGTGGTTGATTCAGCTTTTGAACCCAGTGCTAATTATGTTGCAGTCTATACTATGAGGCTTCCACCATGCACATTTTGACCACTTGCATACAGAGGCAATAGAACACATCCCTTGTTGGACGAGGTCTCTATGTGCATCAGGTCCAGCCTGTTTGATATGTAGATGGAGAAACATCTCATACTCTGAAAGGGAATAAAGTTGTAAAATAAGAGATGGGGCCAAATTCCAGTGATTTCTTATTCACTCATAGACACATTAATTTGATCATATGTTCATTTGCTTACTTATTCATTGACTAGCCATCTGTTCTGGAGAGAGGATGAAAGACACACAAGCATTGAAGACTCTCCTTCATAGGGTCGCTATGAGTTGCCTGCGACTTGACGGCACTTAACAACAACAGCAACAGCCATCTATTACACACTTTCAAAGGACAGGTATTCTTCAAACACTAGAGCTACAGGAGGAAATGCCCACGTTTTTAGAGAGCTTACCCAGAACAAAGCCAAGAGCTCAGTGACTGATAACAAAACATAAAAATAAGTTAAATGATGTGACTATTTGTCAGTAGGTCTTCTAAATCAAAGGGGAAAGTCAAAGAGTAAAGAGGGTTCATCTCCAAAGACTTCTAGGCCGTCGGATAAGGACACTGTCCTGAGAAGTCTTCTCATATATCTTCAGTGCCATCTGGGGTTCATCTCCCCTAGCCTTTGTCTTTTAGACACTGTAATTTAGAAAGAACTCACTTCCCTGCCACCTCCTACATTTGTCTCAAAGTCTTTCTGAACTTTGGTCTCCCTATAGATCAGAAGAGTAAGCTATTTTGTGCTGATTGCTTCAAGGACTGGGGCAATTTGAGGGAGTATGTGGTGGTTCCAAACATCAACCCTACAAACAGGCAGATACTGGCATGGCCAACGTGTGTGATTTGGGGGTAGGTTGCTTCACTCCCCTGTGCTGTGGTTTCCTTGTGTGTAACTTGGAATTTTTTAAAAGTCCTTCCCATGTAATTACTGTTAAGAAGTAAATTATACAAAAAGTCAGGGCATAGAGTTTGGGATGATACCATTTGTTCAATAATGGGTTTTGTTTTGATGAGAAGAATAATGAGGATGTTGTTGACCATGGCAGTGGAAGGGATGGTGGTGGTGAGGGAATTGTTGGTGATGATGGTGGTTATTACAACAGGCAGCATATTCACCAAGAGAGGAAATAAAAACCCTCTTCTAAACAGTCTGAATGAGCGCTGGTTAGGCTTGATACTTCACTGGCATCAAGAGGAACAGGCTGACATTTGAGGGGCCCCATTTGGGATATCCCAACTTGTGATGTAAACAGCCTGGTCTCTCCCTCAGCTCTGCTGCCCGCTCCCTTGCCCGGGTCTCCTTGCACACAGAGAGGCCCTGTAGTAAGACAGGTGGGGCATGCAGTAATAGTGGAAAATCCTAAAGCCTTGGAAAGATAAATAGTCTCATGCAGATAGTATAAAAGTCCTTTTTCTGAACTCACGTCAGGTAAACCTCAACTGACAGAAACTTGTACAACCACACCAAGACACTCCTACGGATGGAGTAAATTAGCTTTCAAATAAACAGGGAAGGACAGGAGTCAAGTCTCTGGTGGATCCTAACCTGAGTGTTTTTGTTTTGTTGTTGTGGTTTTTTTAACTTCTTGAAGTATTACCAAAAGCCCTTTCAACATCCTTGAATTGGCCTGGGACAGACTTTTAGATCCAGGTATGTGAGTCTGAATAAAAGTTTTCAGACGGTGAAAGCAGGTGATTCTCCCAATTTCTGCCCTCCAAACTCGGGAGCAGAAAAGAGCTAGAGCTGAAAGGAAGGAAGACCAGAGACACTGATATCCTTCAGCTGGTCAGTGGATGTTTGTTGACTGTACTCTGTGATTCTAGGGCAAATTAAGGGTGAATTATGGCCTTAAAACCCAGACCCCACCCTCACGAAGCTTAAGGGATTTGCCCTATGTTAACATTTTCACATTACATATATCCCATTTTATCCATTTATCCATCCCATTTTATCCATTACATCCACAACAAGCCTATATAATTAATTTTTAGTTCCCGTTTTACAGATGGAAGATCATCAGAATGGACATATATAAAATAATTTCAAGTCAGAATTAATGCCGTGTCTACCCTACCTCAAAGTCCAAGTTCCTCAGTGCACTGTGTGTGTATGTTAATTCTGGCTACTTTAAGCTGATCCTCTAAACAAGATACTATGCTAGGAACTATAGGGAACTCTGGTGGCATAGTGGCAAGAAGCTGCACTGCAAGCTTGAAGGCAGGAGGCTCAAATCCACCAGCAGCTCCATGGGAGCAGGATGGACAATCTCCTCCCATGCAATTAGCTGCCTCTGGAAACTTACCAGAGGGTCACTATGGGTTCAGCCCACATCAGCAGTACACCACAACAACAACAACAATATGCTAGGTACTGTAGCTATAGACATGAAACAAAAAAAATAATGATCCAATAATGTGCGTTGGTAAATGAAGTTTTATTTTGAGGTGGATCCATTTGTTCATGAAGTAAATCCTTACCGAGCATCCTCTTTGTGCCAGACACCATTGTAGGTATAGGAGAGCCTAAAGTGAAGCAAAAATTCGGGGGAGCAGAGAAGAGAGGCACCCAACCCAGTCAGAGCCAGATCCCTAGTGTCACGTGATTCTCCTTAGTCCAAGCTTACCAAGAAACCTTATTCTACTTTGGCTCCCATAAAAGTTTGCTCTCAGGAGAAAATGGGCTGGTCACATATTCTGGCCTGTGTGACTGTTCATTTCTTAATTAAAATTAATCAACTGGCATTTAGCCAGGAAAGCAAGGCCTAATCATTTAGACTTCCACAGCTGGGCCTCGACGCAGTTATCTCTCCTTGCAAGTTGAGGCACCCTGGTAGATGCATCCATTTCTACATTTTGTTTTTTAAAGAGGCAATAAGTGTGCTGTTTATGGCAGAATGGAAAAAAAACAGCTTCTAGAATTTTTAATATTAGCCCCACTCCAGAGAATGATTTTTCCCCCCCTACTTTTTTTTCTTTCTTCATACACCTGTTTTTAAAGTAGCTTGTTGGGCTTTACATCCCAACCTCCTTTAAGCTGCTTCTGGAGCATCGACTTGATTTTAAATCCTGAGTTCTTTACCTAACATTTGTAGACCCTGGGAAATGTATTTCTCTTATGGCAACAGACCATTGCCCACCGGATGACAGGGGGGTAAAAAAACAGATGAGACAATGAATATAGTAATCAGTACCCCCGAATGCACGCAGTACATGTTAACCGTCATTGTTGCTGTTGTAAGTGCTGTTGAGGTGAGTATGTGCCCATCATGACCCTGGACACAACAGATGTGAACTCTTCCAGTCCTGCACCGTCCTTATCATTCTCGACCCATTTGAGTCCATTGATAATAACTGTGATGTTAATGACAATTAGCGTTGTCACTAGGTTAAGGGTCAGCAGAAGAAGAAGAGCCTCAACAAGGTTTTTATTATCTTTCTTAAAGGGAGTTACAAGTAAGCCTGTAGCTGTATAGCTGCAACTCTACTTGAGGAGGCTGGGGGGAAAATGCCACCTGAAAATGATGTCTTCAGTAGAACTGTGAAAGATAAATAAGGTTTCTCTGGGTGATGAGGTAAGGAAGGACATTTCACAGAAAAAGTCACTGGGAGAGAACAACTCCTTGGGGATTTGGGAGTGTCCCATAGGGCCTGGCAGCAGATGACAACCTAATGGGTTCTCTTTCTCCCCAGATTCAGAACCTGCAGTTAGCACATTCATCCTCAATCCTCTTGTTTCAAACTGTAATGTGCATCTGAATCATCTGGGAGGAGGGTCAGTTTTTAAAATGCAGAATCCCAGCCCCTGGCCTCAGAAATTTGATTTCATGGGGGCTGGAGCAGACAGTGCCAAGGACTCTGCCTTTTTGAATATTTTTTAGACGTGGTCCTCAGCAACACCCATGTCTCTCTCCTTGTTTGACTGGAGCTATACACACACATATACATACACCCTGGCCTCCACTTTAGTCCAAGTCCATCAACTGGTCAAACATCAGCCAAGAATTTTCTGAAAGGCTTTTCTGGTTGTGTCGCCAATCTTCAAGCCTGCTTCTCAGCCCTTATTCCTGCCAAGGGAACACAGGATCATGACACACGTGGTGAACACAAATATTTTTTTAATCTTATGGTTCCTGTGATTGCAAGTATCAGGTAAATGCCCATGCTAAAGCAAAGATGAGGTCTAGATGTGGAAGTGCCAGAAAGAGGTGAGGTGATTGATTATGGTGCAAACACTGGACTGTTTCTATCCCAACCCCAAACCTATCCAACGTGTCTCCTTTCTCTCTGCAGAGAATTGTATGCACTGCTGGCCTTGACTGGTATCCTCTTCCTGATCGGATTCACTGTCTCAAAGGCTGTGAGGTGAGTCTCAGGGCAAGATGTACATCAGGTCCCTCGAAAGGACTTTCTTGTTATTATTTGCATATTGATGATGGTTACCACTAGCTATGTCCATTATTTTTTGCCAGTATCCACTTAACAGAAATCTTGGGTAGGAAATTAGCAATCCCGTTACATAGATGACAGAATCAAGGCCATTCTCTGACCCATCAGTGTCACAGAATGGCTCTGGGTCACACATTTCTTCCTGTGTGTTGGTTAGTGACTCCCTGTGCCATTTGCTCAGGACAGTAAGCACTGCAGCCACACAGAACACCAATTCTCCCAAGCTTCCTTCAGGAACAGAAAAGCCCAGGCACCAGGCTGTAGCTGTTGCTTCCCGTTATGGGGTCAGCCCAGCATTTTGGGTAGAGGAGAGTTGGGTTACTTGGGAGCCCGTTCTGCTGAGTTGGCGGTCTGGGCAACTAGTGTGGCAGCGGAATTTGATCCTTCTCTTGGCTCAGCACTGAGGCCCAAGAAACCCTCACCTGTCAGGGCCCAAGCCCAGCCAACGATGCTTATCGCCTTTGCCCTTCCAGGTGCCCCTCAGCTCTTTCATTTCTTCTTACCTTAGAGTCAGTCAGTAGTTTGTCTCTTGCCTGGGGCTTAAAAATGTGCTTAGAAGAGATATACAGGGAGGAATCAGAGAGGACCCCTCAACATAGGATGTCTTAAGGTCATCAGGATAGAGAATAGATTTTTATGATTCTTAGGCCCCTACTGTCTGCCCCAAGGTGTGTGTGCAGAATAGTCAAAGCTTGTTATCAAAGCTTTCTGAGTGTATATTATGCCAGGACTCTTCTAGGTTCTAGGACACAATGATTTTAGTCTGAGTGGAAACAGTAACTAAGTCTTCCCCAAATCACTTGGTCTCACATCCATTTACTCCATCCACCCATCGATGCATCCATCCATCACGGCACTAAACAAATATTTACAAAATAGAAATTGAAGTGTTTTGAATCAAATTACCTGGCCTTTTGCTAAGAAGTATAGGACACAGAAATGGTGACATCACTCAATGTACTGACATTGCCAGGGGAAGTGATGACAAAATGATCCCCGAATCTGTGACAATGGCCATGGCAGTGGCAATAAACAGCCCAGCAATGGAGGGGGAGAGGCCGCAAAGGCAGTGACGTGACTAGAGTTTGCGTCCCAAATCACTTAATATGGTAACTCACCACTCCTTCCACCATCACCTGCCAGTCAAGGTGTGGACAGGTGGATAGAAGGGCTCTCTGAGCAGAGAAGAGGGTTTCTGCTTTGGCCAATCAGAGAGAAGAGGAACTGTGTGGAGGTGGGAGGCAAGACTGGCAGAGCTGGACAGCTCCACCCATAGCATGGATTCTCCGGCTGATCCTGTGGGAGCAAGAGGGTGGGGCATGTAACACAATGAGTTACCACACTGGGTGACACCGCTGCTGGTGATGTCAATGTACGCTAACGGACTCATAGTCCAGTAAAGGAGGCAGATAGTTAAAGAGACAGTTCTAACATGATGTGCCAGGAGCAAGTTCATGAGACTGGAAACAGCAGTCAGAGTTACAAGTAAAGAAATTAAAAGAACACTTTTTTGAAGGGGTTGGGGTTTGAACCAGAACTTGTAGATGAACTTGTCTTGATATTGTTGACAGAAAGAGTTGCATGAGACATACTAGAGATATTTCTATATTGAAAAAAATGTATGTCTAAACTGTTCCTTCTACCTAAAGTCTCCCTCCTCCACTTCCATCTAAATTAACACATCTTTATTATCTGAGCTCAAAAGCGATTTCTTAAAGGACACCTGCGCTGAGCTCCTCTACGAAATACAATCCTCCTGCTCTACATTCTAATAGCATCCTGTCTTTCCCCTTTGTCAGTCTTATCAGAGTTGAAATTGGCCACTTGCATGAGTGATTATTTTTTTTGCTTTATCCTCTTTATTTTATTATTTTAAAAATAATTTTAATGAACATTTGCAGAGAATTTGGATTTCTATTCATTCATTGCTGCACTTCTCTACCTGCCCAGCCCTCCCCCCACCTCAAGTTCACTCCTCTCTTTCAAAAGTAAAAGAAAGAGTCCCTCCCTGGTACACAATCTACCCTGTACCCCTCCCACCGCCCCAAGTACATTCCACTATGCAACCTTAATTGTGGACTCTTGTGATAACCATAATACCCTATCATACATCACTTTTAAATTATTCACTCCCTCATCTTAATGTAATAATTTAAATGACACAAAGACCTGAGATCTTGAGGAGCTGTTGTTGTTGTGTACCTTCGAGTCAGAACTAACTAATAGCTGACCCTCCAAGAAGTTTTCAGAGGCAATAAATTGCACAAAAGTAGATTGTTCATCTTTCTCCCACCGATCAACTGATGAACTTGAACTGTGTGTGTTTGGAATTGCAGCGAAGCTTCATACCACTAGGCCACAAGAGCTACTGAGTGGTGGAGAGCAGTGACTCCAATTCGTCAATTTATTATTTATTACATCATCTTGTTTAAAACAAAGTCTAACACATAGGAGGCATTCAAGAACTAGTTATTGAATGACCAGTGTCTCCTAGAACATTCATATTCTAATGGGGATAATATACCTGAAGTGAGATCCTTTATATGTGTGGCAAGTTAACTGGTAAGTTGTCCAAGTGACTTGAAGCCAGCTGATCTAGCTGTTGAAGCCTGTGAGAATATGAGAAATACTGAAAAACCCACAGAGGTCTACATGAAGGGCTGGGACCAGTTCCCCTCATTCCTGGATAAGACTAAGACAGCATTTTCTTCCTGCCTTGCCTTCCCTCCTAGCCTTTCATGGGAGACAATTACTGTGATGCCATCAACAACCGGGCCTTCTGCAACTATGATGGTGGGGATTGCTGCACCTCCACAGTGAAGACCAAAAAGGTAGGCCAGTGTACCACTCAATCCACTTTTCATTCCCTGATCCCCCAGCTCTCTGGGTCAGAGTCACTCCTGTACTCTGGAATGGTTCTTGAAGTTTGCGTTTTGTCAGTTTTTTGCCTTCAAACTTTATTTATTTTTAAATTCTTATAGAGATAGTTGAGCTGATGTTATGTTCTGAACCCAGAATGAGATATGAAAGACTTGCGGTTGATACATGTTGAGGTGATACCTTGAGTATAAAGCTTAGAGTCAGGTAGAAAAAAAAGATCATTGGAAGATCAACAGGTATTTTTATGAAGAAAGGACTGGGGCCCTGATGAGGGTCTCTGTCATATCTGAGAAGACTCAGTAGAAGAAATAACATTGGCAGTGAAATTCAAGCAAGGAAATGCCAAGGAAGTAACCAAGAAGCAAGAGTGGTTTAGGCAAGAGAATAGCAAGTAATAATTCTAGCAAGAACCCAAATTTTTAGAGTGTGGCTTAAGTCTGGGGAAAAATTAAAGGGGGGGGAATTTCCAACAAGATAACTCCTGACCTCTGAGCTTTTTTATAATGCCCTTTTTTCACACCTGTAGAATTAGGCAAGAGTGACTTAATCATGACCTTCATCGTTGACGTATTAGGGTTCACATAGAAGTGACTGGAGTACATATCGTAAACATGGACATTCAGATGAGATTGAGATCAGCCACTCAAGGAGAAGCGACCACTTAAACTCCTCTGATGGGAGCTGAGAGTAGAGGGTGGGGTTCTTCCTGAGAATTGAGAGAGACTCAGGCAAAGTAAGACGAGGACAGTTCTCGCAGTCAGTGGTTTAGCAGCAAATCATTTTTCTCTTTTAATACTCAGTGAAACTCTGAGTTGAAAGATCATTTTAATTCAAAGATCATTTGATCTTATCTCCAGTTTTAAAGAAGCTAAAACTAATTTCCAGAGACAAAGCTGGATAGAGAATCCTAGTCATTCACAGGTGAAGAGCCCTTGGTCAGGATCTGCCCAGTCCTTTCTCTTCATTAATGTGGAGAATGGCCAAGGTCTTGAAAGGAAGACTAGTGTGTCCAAGATGGCACAGGAAGTGATGGAGGGAGGTCAGTCAAAACCTCTGGCTCCCAATGCAAGTCCTTTATACTGAAGCATCCTAAAGAGAGTTGATTCCTTGGAGAGAGAGATTCTATCTTATCTCCTATTTATGGAAGATAGCTAGAATAGGTAATGCATAGAAATGAAAATCTAATAGTAGTTACCAGGGGAAGGCAGAACAGGGAGGCTAAGTCCCTGTGTAGGAAGCATTGAGTTTCTATTTATGGTGATGGAAAATTCAGCAATGAATATTGGTGATGGTTGCACAACACATTTGATGTAATTGGTATTTGAAATGCGGGTGGCAAAGCTTCTAGCATTACAGCAACATGCAAGCCACCGCAGTACGGCAAACTGCTAGACAAGTAGTGGTTTGTTTGCTTAGTATAGGAAATCTTACACATGAGAATTACAGAGTATGAAGGTCTCTGCTGCATTTTTGTTGTGTTATTGTTTACAATGCAGTCGTGATATATAATTAACTATCCACTTCAGCATTTTAACTTGTGTTATTTCATTTCATCACAATTTTAAATAATGATGCCCATGAACGTCTTTGTGCATCACTACTACTGTATTTGGACTTATCCCTTCCATTAATTGACTCTTAGAATTGAAATGACTATCGTAAAGCATGTGAACAGTTTTAAAAGCCTTGATACATGTTGCAAAACTAACACAGTGTAGAGTACTGTCTACGCCATTGTCTTGGAGTCAGCCATTTTTGAAAGCCAATGGATAAGGAAATTAGTTTTAAATTTTTTTTTTAATTTTTTATTGGTTTGCGTACAAAGTTCATATACATTGTGTTTCACACTATCCTCCATTCATATTGTGTTTAAAATTCATCATCATTGCACCATGCCCATTATTACCCTTTCTTTCCATATCTGCACTGGCAATTTGTATTTTAAACACAATTTTGTGTAGAATTATCACACATACCCTGGCACACCATCAGCCACAGAAAGTGCAGCACTGATTAAAATAATTTTCCTATATACTATACATTGTGTGGACAGCTCTGGTGTCTTAGAGATAAGGATTTGTGCTGCTAAATCAGAGGCACATGGTTCAAATCCACCATCTGCTCCATGGAAGAAAAATAGACACTCTTCTATTTTATTTACAGTCTCTGAAAACCCGCTAGAGGGTCAGCTGTGAATTGATTTCAACTTGATGACACAACAATAATAAATTGTGCAGTAAAACATAAAAAAAATTAAGACTTATTTATTGGGGCACATTCTTAAAAGAATTAATATGTCTATGAAGTGTGTGGCAGGGATATGATGTCATGAGACTGAGTTTCAGTTGCAGTTCATTCTATATTATTTTATTGTCATATGAGAACATATATATGCACACACACACACGTGCACGCACACACATGAATTTGACTCCTTTGTGTCAGTTTTGACACCAGTGCCTTGAGGTGAATGCTGACTCTATATTAGAAGACCAAAGACCGAGACTCAACTCTTTGCTATTTCTGAATGAACTTTGTTGTTGTTTTTGTTTTGTTTTTATTTTCTTTTTCACCCACATCATAAATATAATATTGACTTTTAGGGTCTAAAGATTCCTTCGTCTCACCTTATATTGATGGTTTTCCCCTCTGGCTAAGAGTGCAAAATGTTGATGACCAAATTTCTGTCATCCAACAATTAGATGTATTCATTAAGCACTTCTGTGTGTCCAGCACTGCGCTGGGCTGTGTTCATTATACATTTGTATGGAACTTGTCATCTATACGGAAGCCTGATATGTAGCAATGACGATATAAGTAAGCATTTGGTTACCTTGAAGGAAAATCAGTGGAGGAAATGTGATGGCTTTTAGGGAGGACATTGTAAGGAACAGAGAAAGCGTCCTTGAGGAAATAGCATTTATGCTGAGACTTGAAAGATGAGTAAGAGTTCCTGGTGAGGGTGACTAGCAGTCAAGGGGGCAGAGTAGATAAAACCTGTTACAACTATGAAGTAAAACTTAGAGACTCTACTGGCCTCTCAAAAGAATTCTAGTAGCACAAGGGTTAAACACATGGCTGATAACCATAAGGTCAACATTTTGAGCCCACTAATAGCTTTATAAGTAGCTCTGGTGGCCCACCGACACGAGGGAACATGTGTGTTCTCCCATGTTCCATTTCTCCCATGGAACAGCTGATGAGTTTATTTGAACTATGTGCCTTTGGGATGGCAGTGCAGCTCCTTACCATTAGGCCACCTGAGCTCCCTATTCAGTAGACTGGTTTGTTGTTTTTGTTGTTGTTATGTGCTGTGGAGGTGGAATTGACTCAAAGTTGACCCTTCAGTTGGTCTTTGAGCTACAGAAAATCACATGGGAGGAGTTTGCCAGGCTTTCTCCCTTGCAGCAGTTGGTGGATTTGAACTATGTGCCTTTGGGTTGACAGCACCACTCCTTATTGTCAGGCCACCAGAGCTCCCTAGATTGGTTTATAGGAGTTACTATGTGGAGGAGACAAACAATAATGAAAAATATCACAAAGTGAACTCTTGCATATTCAGACAAAATAAAAGATACTTAGATACCATGTTATTACTGAATCCTCATGTCAACCCCAGTAACTCTGTTAATCCTAGTTGGATGGATAAATCATTTTGGGTTCAGTGTATTTAAAGGGCTCACCTCAGTTTACTTAACTTGTATGGGAAAACCAAAACTTGAACCCAGTTCCATCTGGATCAAGATCCCAGCCCTCTCTCCTTGTCAGGGCTAAATTTCATAAACATTTAGGGCTTAGGACCTTGTCCTTGGCCTGACCCTTCCCATTCTAATTGGAAATATTTCTTTGTAAACCTTGATTGTTGGGGAACCATGGATCAGGACACCTTCTTCCTGACCATGGTGAAAGCAGCTTTTTAATGCAGCAAAAACAGAAGACGAGGCTTCTATCCTTGCCAAGCACCCCTCACATCCCAGTTAGCCCATACAGGCGTTTCCCCTGGGCATCCACAGGGCAGAAGAAAGGCTTAGTTTCTGTCCCCAGCTTCCATAGTAGGATATCTCTTAAGTAGGAAAGGGACGGCCTTCCTTTCATGACCCTGCCCTTAATCTGATAGAACTATTTAGCTACCACTTGTACTGTTGTTCTCAATCTCATAGAAAAATCCTTGTCCCTAAGCAGAAGATCCCAGGCAGGCACGGAGAAATTCACTGATGCTGCATATCTGCCTTAAACAGCTTCCTAAATTCCTCTGATTGAATAGTGACTTTAAAATCCTGGGTTATGCCCTGGACTTCTGAGCATATTCTCAATATTATTTAGAACCACCCAGAACAGTTGGAAATTGAATCTAGAAGTGGAATCATCTGTGCAAGATGGTCCAGCTGTGTGGGACTTAGAATTTCCTGATTCCAAACAAATAATATTAGCTAATATTTATTGAGAGCTAACCCTTTGCCAAGCATTATGCTAACTACTTTTACATGTGTCATTTCATTTAATCAGCACAGTAGTTCTATTATAGCTATTGTTTCTTAACTTCATTTTATAGACAGTAAGCCTGAGGTTCAGAAAGGTTCAGGGCCCATCACTAATAAGTGGTCAAGGTAAGGTGCAAGCCTAGTGGATCTAAGCCCCAGAGCACCTGCCTCTAAACACTGCCCTGAATAAATTGTTCCAGTGAATTTGTATCTTGTCCAAGTGTCATGTCCTTCTCCAGGCAGATGGGCTTTTGGAGTAAATGGAATGGATGGGCTCCTTTGGATAGATGGAGACCCCTGAATAGAGTCCTATGTGTGGTCTTCAGGTCTAGAAGAAAGTTCTGAGCACCTTCTCCTAAACTTTCCTCTTGCCAAATCTCCACCTTAACTTCGTACCAGTCCCCAGGGCTGGGGCCTTCCAGGCCTTGGCCTGGAGTGAGGTCTGTCTGCTCCCTGAATCCTTCCTCCCT